AGCCATTGTGGCTTTCTGCAAGGTCCTTATTTGCCAAAGCTTCAATCTGCTTTTATTTAATATAACAGAAGCAGGTAAGCCTAAGAGAAGGAGGGAATTAAGCCAATAATGGACTTAATCCCTTCTTTTCCTGGTATCAATTCCTTTTGTGAGTGGTGAAGTTCATATGAGCAAGCAGCTTCAGCTGCAACTTCTCCCTAAGCCCTTCTGCTTTGTGGCTGTGCCTGAGGAGGTGGCACTGCTGCATGCCAACCAGGGAGTTTCCTGACGGACATGCAATAAGTTAGCACAAGTTAATCATGCTGATGCTTAGTTAAAAAGTGAGCGCTTCTAAGGTGAGCTGAAATCACATTCTGGAAGTACGTGGGCAAAAGTCCTGAGGTCTGGGCTCAATTGGGAACTGAAATACTCTGTTGTTRTTTTCTAGCAACTGTAATTCTCTAAAAACTTGCTTCAGAGTTTTGAAGGCCTATTTACCTTGTTCAGGTTTTTTTAAATGCTTTTCTAAATTGGAATTGATTAAATTGCAGTGCAGTATGGGCCTGGAAGCTACAAGTATCTTGAACAAAGGTATAGGATTAAAACATTTTTATGTTCAAGGTGTATTTGTAATTAGTATTGAATTGGGTCCTTCAAGCTACTCAGCTTGCTTTTAGCCCTGGTTCAGATTCATAGAAAGGACATAAGGACATTGTATAACTCTTCCTTATTTGCCTTCAATCTGAGCAGGCTGCCAATTGAATAYAGAGGTGCCTTGTGTCAGAAGGGAAGCTCATTTTTATGTCATTCCTAAATTGAGCACATTCTGTTTTTGTTTTGCCTTCTCTTGCTCCACATCCAAGTCGGAGCTAGAGCAGGAAGGCAGGAGGAAAACTGAGGAGGGACTGTGAAAGTCCAGGGAGAAGTGCCAAGGTATTTTTATAGTCTCAGTTATACATCAGCCACACATGATTATCCTGCCCCTCGTTTCTGTGTAGAAGGTAAGTGTTGCACGACCTGTCAGCGCACTGTGTTAAACTCATGTGCCTGGCTCAAGGTTGCTTTGCAAGCCTGTAGTTATTGGTAATAAAAGGAAAGATACCTGGAATCTGTTAAGTTCCTTGTAGCTTATGCATGCAGGCATTGAACTGCTTTCCCATAAAATTCTGCGTTTCAAGTCTGTGGGGAGGGGTGATCCATTTTCATGTACAAGATTAGTATGCATCTGAAGTTGCAATGAAAGGTGGAACAGCTCAACTGCTTCAGTCCAAAACAAACTGAAGGCAAAGAATCCAATAACCAGAAAGAAACCTGGGCTTCTGCGTATGAAAACTTGTCATGAATATCAAATGACTTGAGCTCAACTTATTTAGATTTGTAGTCCTAAAACTCTGGTCTCTTAGGAGTTTTAGCATGTCAAGGCTTTGTTTTTGATATCTTAATTTGCCTGCTAAACTCTAATATGTAATTACTGTTCAGTCATCATGCAACTTTCTTAGAGATGCTTTTTCACTCATCCGGAACTGATACTGATATTAAAAGCCATGAATATTGAGTGCCAGAGCAGCTCTCATCCATAGCTAGTCTATTTGTCTTATGCTGTTAACTGGGCTTTATAAAGTTACTGCTATTAAAACTTCTGAAAAGAAACAGGTCTTGGCAAAGGAATTACTAGTGAATGAAGCTACTTTTTTTTTTTTTTTTAGGGGAGTGAACCCTTGAGGTCTATTTCCATTTTAATGGATGCATTTTTTTGTTAGCCTGCCAATTCAAAATAAGGTTACCAAAACAAGGTTAAATTTAGTGAAGGTGCAATACAGTTTCAGAATTGTGGAAGAGCTGAGTAAACTAGAGCTAAATGCCCATATTATGGCMCTAGTTCAGCATGTTATTTTAGGCATATGTACATGAGTAATAAAATATGTAAAAGCTCAGTGCCTTGTTGGACATGGCTAGAGAGAGATATAGGATAGGTATATATGATAAATTCAAATACAAATTGTCAAGAAGCTGGAATAACTCTTAATCCTTTCTCTGGATTTAGGTTTATAAAAATGACTGAAATGATTCTGTTGTATCWAGAGTACAAATTGGAAATGTCTATCAGGAGGCCTCAGAATGAATTATCTGAATATAATCAGCAAGTTTATTTTGCTTTGGAAGTGAAATAACTGAATCTAAACTCCCAGAAACCTGTAGAATATGGCATTTAATTTAACGTTTCTGTGCTAAATAGAAGTATTCCACACGTTCACAACTTTTGGCTGCTTACTTCTTTCTCTTAAATTATATATTTTGTACTTGAGGGTTTAGCCTTTAGAGTATTGATAAAGAATACTGACCTTAAAGAGCWTGAAAGCGTTTGGATTTTTATTTCTGCAGTTTTTTCTTGTTAGTACTAAAATAATCTGGGAAGATGAGGCTTTAGGAATTATACTGCTCATCTTGTAGGTACTCTAGATCATGAATGTTTTCAGAGTGGTGTCTTTTTCAAGTCAAGCTTTTGCTTCAGGAGAATATGGGCTCCATTTACTACATGAGGTTTCTTAYGGTTACATCTGATAAAACTGCAGTTTTACGTAGTTTGGTCCAAAATGCATTTGTTCCATGGTTCTAGCCTTCTTGGCTAATTCTCTCTATGCATTTTCTTCCTCTTCTTGTTTCCATTTTGCATAGGAAACATGGAATTCCTGTTTCTTGCTGTTGGATCTCTAATGATTCCTATTTTCTCACATTGTTTCAAGTGAGCTCAACTATTAGGAGACCAATCAAGAAATAAGCTTGAGTACTGAAATACTGCGAAACAGGAGTATATTCTAGAAAGTTGTCCAAAACATGAGAGGAAAAATGGGGAAATGCACATCCATAGTAACTGTACTGAGAAATCTGGTCAAACTGAGACAATTTTGACTTTCTACAAACATCCAAGATAGTGTTTCATTAATACTTCATAAGATCCTGTTTTTCTGAGTATTCACAGACAGTTTTTCTTGTAGAAATGTTAAAAATATGTAATTGGATATAAAAAAGGGTTCAGAGGTTAAGCCAAGTATGTATTTCTAGATTCTGGTTTTTAACCAAAATGTGGACAATAGATTCTGGTGGTTTTTTTTTTTCCTTTGTCTTAGATCTGGTAAAGGCAAGATGAAATCCCTGTGGCCCKTGTTGTATAACATCTAGAAGTTGAAAGGGATCCAGCCCTGGGATTCTGTCTAATCCCGAAATAAACTTAATGTCATCCTTGAAGGGAGCCCCCAAAAAGGAAGGGGAGGGGACTTGGCTGCGAGATCAGTGAGTTTTGTGGTGTTTTTTTGTTTAAGGTTATGAAAAGTAAGTTAAAAAATTACTAGTGGGTACTTGTTTTGCATCCTACTGGATACTTGTTTTGCATCCTAGTGGATTGTTTTGCATTAAGATGGCACTTATTAGCTGGCTTTTTAAAAGCCTGCATCCGCTAGTGCTGCGAAGCATGACCACATCACTTGGTTGGCTCAAGCCAGCATTTCAAGTACTGCTAAATAATAATAGTCAGAAGAAATAATGTAAATGCACATTCAAAAGTCTAAGCTGCATATAGTTGTATATACACAGTAAGATTTTTAGACTTCAGTAATGTACTTCAGTAGTGTTTTTTCTTCTTACTGTTGTTTGTGTCCACATATGGTACAAATCAGTTCATCCTCTTCTACAGGTAAAATGACAGTTTACCTCTTGTTCTGGCTATATGGTTTAGCCTGTGATGGGGGGGGGGGGGGGCGGAAATCATGCGGCTTTCCTCTGAAAGTTGGAAAGGGGAGGCCAAAGGCAACTAGTAAAAGCTAATTCACTTTCTTGGGCTACATCCTTCCAGTTTTTCATCCTTCCATCCTTCTAGTACTTCTGCATCTTATGCCCTGGCTTTCCTTAGTAACTTTTGAGACTGAGAGCTGAATTCTTTGTCCTGAAACTTCCTGTCCTTCCTTGGGACTTCCTAAGGCTTAACCAAAAATTTGGGGTGTTTGGCTTGTGGCCTGTTTGATATAGGTGCCAATCTTATGCTGGTTCTGGAGGCCCTTCCTGAGAGGCCATGGGAAGAAGCTCTGTACCAGGTGAGCTGCTCTTTCCTCCTCACATGCAGAACTTACTTGTGCAACGTCCCTTCAGCCGAACGATAGGAAGGGCTGGAGATGGCAGCTGAGACTGGGCCGCTGCCACCAGAGCGGCCTTGTGGTGCAGCCCAAAGGGCTGTTGCTGCAATGGATGAGGCTTTCCCAGTGAAGCGGGTAACTGCAACAGGGTGCATTGCACCTATGACAGCACCCTGGTTTGAGCTGTTGTAGGCTTCTCTTAAGTTKCTTATGAAAATATTCATGATAACTAAAGTTGGGAAGGACTAACTAATATAGGGTTGGTATGGTTTCATGCATTCAGAGCAGTTGAACCCTGAGGGAAAAGTCTTCYCTCTGTGAAAAGACTCCTGAACCATCTGTTCTTGCTTGAACTGCTTTCATGGTCTGACGCAGCACACTGAACAATGAGTATCATTCTACAAGAAAAAGTCACCAAGATAAAAAGTTGTTACAAATATCTGATTTTGCTTCTAAGTAGCAGATACATCRGGATACATTTTCTTTAGGGTTTTTGAAATCATTTTTCTCTTGCCAGAAATAAGAACTAGCACCACTGAAAAGAGCTTAGATACAAAATAAAAATAATCTGTAATATCAAATTTAAGATTTTTCAGGTTATTCACAATAGCCGAAGATGTATCTTAAATAGGAAACTCGAACCAAAATTGGYAATTCTGACACTGACCAGTCTCTTATAATGCAGATGCTATAGTGAATTACAGTATATGAATATCTTCCATATTAGCAAAATATAGGTGACTTAGACATACTTTTCAGAATGCATCTGGTAAAAGTTCATATACTTCAATGATCTACTAGTTCAGATCCAGTGATACCAGATGGTTGTTAATGCTAATTTTATGATTTTGCTCAGCGACTTACTGCTAATGTGTGTGCTTTTAATTATTGTAGGAAATCTATCAGTGGTGTGGCTCAGCATGCAATAAATACGAGCGTCTGAAGGCTACTCAGGTTGCTGTTGGCATTCGGGACAATGAGCGGAATGGAAGGTCGCAGTTGATTCCCGTGGAAGAAGGAAGCGAACCCGAGCAGCTTATTGAGGTAATGGACATGCAGCTTGTGCAATTGCTCAGGAGCTAAACAGGGGTGGACTCAATCCTTGTGTCCTTCARGGAGCTCAGGAAACCAGGGTGAGCTTTTGGGAGGTCAGTCAACAGTGTTATGTGGGGAAAGCCCAAATAGGGGAAAATAGAGAAAAGAAAGGAAAAGAAGCATAAAGATGCAGAATGTTAGAGTCTAATATCATTAACCACCTAAAAATACTCTTTTTGAAGACTAGATACTAGCTTTTTTGGATTAGCCTGCAGGTAACTTGTTTAGCATAGTACAGGTATGACCTGTACTGTTATCTACTCTACTACTGAGGAAAGAGCAGGATCATGGTGGAACAATATAAAATAGCTGAAAATACTGTGATTTTCATGCCAAAAAGCACAGCAAATTGCATGGGATTGAGCACACTGCTCGTATCCCCTCCCCTAATACTTAATCTGCATATAGCTTKAAGTGAGCCCTTCCTCTTTATGTTCACAAAGGTTAACTATAAAAACAAATGAAAAAACACTTAATTTCAGAACTGAGCAGAGTAGGGTGTAAAGAAACTCCCACATTTGTTATTTTCAGATAGTGTGAAAACTAACTAGCATTGATTTGTTGCAGTCTGTATACTAACTTATCATAATAAGGACATTATCACTGTCCTTATTATGTACTGTCCTTATTACATACTAAGTTTAGCTTTTTCCCTTCCTTCCCTAAAGAGAGGAAGGAATAAATGGGTCATAAAGCAGTCCTTCAGTAAAATGGAAAATACACATTTGAGACAGAATTTTATCTTGTACTTCAGAGAATCTTCAGGAAGCAATGCTAATGGTATAGGCAGATATGCTATTTTTTGATTTTTATGCTGTTTTGCCACGTGAACTAATAATTGCTTAAATAGAAAACAAGGTAGGTGTAGAGCCTGCACTCCTTGGGCAAAGTAGCCTTGTGGATGCCTTTGTGTCACCTACCCATCTGCTTACAGGGGTGTTTTACCTGTGCCTGTTGGTGTAGAAAGGCAGGGGAGATGGTGCTCAGCCCATTTAAGTTGTGTGGAAAATAAGAACCCCTCAACCTCTATCTGGCTCTTGATCTCCTTTTGTATGCTTCTCTGCTTGACTCTGATCTGGCATATACTTTACTTCAGCAGTCCTTATGAAGAGAACACGTGTTAGTTGATGCAGCCCAAGCACRTGCCTCTCACCTGATGTTTGAAGTTGTGGCCTGCAACCATGTGGCCCATGGCTTGATGGCAGGTGCTGGGTGGCACCATGGCATCGTGCCAGCATAATCCCTGGCCAGCAGCCTCCTCCTGCCCAGCCCTCCTTGGAGTTTACACTTGGGGCTCTCTGTAGGGTTTCTCATGTCTCATCTGCTGTTGGGCATATTGATCAAAATCACTGCACTTTGTACTTCTTATCTGAGGTTGTAGTTGCAGGTGCAAATTCAGCCTTCTATGCAGCAGCAAGAACATAGGCCTGCTGCAGAGGTGGCCTTTAACCTCTTGGCTTTTTCCCCCTTGAAGGGTACGAGCCCCAGGAATGTGATGGCCTGCCATATCTCTCTGTCAAACTTACTCAGCTATGTGCAATGGTAGCAACTTTAACACATGAGTAAGAGCAGGAAAAATGACAAGGTTGGTTTTTGATTTTTGTAGCATGTTGTTACTTTGTCAGGGAATATATCTCTTATTGGCTTGYCCAGTAGCGTATGAGGAAAAGTTTCAGCTTGTTCTTTTGGGCTGTGAATGCAGAGGGAAGATGCATGTTTGTTCTGTGCAAGCAGCTTCACTGCATTTACTGCCAACCTTAAAGTGAGTTTGACTCAAGTGACTTGGTCAGTAGCCAGGGCCTGCTTGCCARCTGGACAGCCTTGCTCTGGGATGTCCACACAACATGGGCAAAATCTTCTGCAAAACAGCCTRGAGGAGGGCAGAGCAAACATGCAAAGCCCGTTAACCCACTCTTCTGCTTAAAATGTATCCAGGTCTTTGCCTTCTTCATTTTTATTTCTCCCTGTTTCTGCTGAACCCTCTCTAACTTGCCCACACTTCTTGCCTAGGCTGACTGCACTTGTTTATCGCTTGTTTATTTCCTTGGCATCACAGARTGTGGGCAAGAGGAGACCTGGTGTCAGCCCTTCCCCTAGAGGACAAATGGAAAAAAAGTATGGTAGGGAACAGTAGCCCACACACACCACAGAGAAGCATCTGAGGGCACATTTACTCTAATAGGCCTATTGCTGCTTGACTATCCTGACAGCCATGCTTGCTTTTCAGATATCAGGTTATTATTTTACTTTTAGGGTGTTTTATTTTCAAATTTACGAATTGTTCTTTTAACTGTGGGAACTAGTTTACCTTGGGTATAACCAACCACACTATTTTATTAGGTATGAAAGGTGTCACTTGCAGTAATACCCAAAGCTTTAAAACTGTCAGAACTGTCAGAAACTTCCTTTTTCTCTGGTTCTAAAGTACTGAGTCCTTTCTGGGACTCTGCTATCCCCTACTGCTTTCTCTCCAAAAACATGACAGTGCACTAAGTTTTTCCAAGGCAAACATCACAAGTCAAGGGAAAAAAAAAGCCAAGGAAAAAAAGACTGAACAGTCTTTTGTCCAGAAGTAAGAATAACACTGAAGTCAGAGCCACAGAAACTTTTGAATCCTGTTTAGGTACCCACCTCCTACTGAAAAGCAGTATTTAACCTTTTAATTTCTGTTCGTTTGCTTAATTTATCCTTGTACATCTTGCCTCATGTGACTTAGCTCATGACTAAGCTCATAGAGGCACACCACAAAAATGAGCTTATGAAGCTGCACATGAGAATCAGCTGATTTGGCAATATATATGCTAATTTGATTTTTGATAAATGCAGAACAGTGCCAGAACTAAGGCAAGCAGGAAGTGTATATTGTTATTAATTTAATAACCTAATAATTTGGAAAACTAAGGGTAAGTAGGCAAAGATTGACATGTATTTGAAGTTTTGGTTATTTGGACTAGAAATTTAGAAATGGGTTTTTGCCCTTTGTCTTTTGGAATACAGGTGGGCAGGAGGAGTTCTCTTTTCTGACAAAGAAAAGATCCCATACTTGAGATACATAGTTTTTTTCTTCTCTCCCCTCATCTGGTATCCAACTGAAATCAGAATGACACTTTCCTAACGTTCTCTCCTCTGATAAGTGTCAGGAAATATTCTTCCCTTCCACAAGTTAGGCATCTGCTTCCACACTGGTGACTTGTTCTTATGCAGCTCTGCTAGATCGGTGCTCACTGGGCAGAGGCTGATGCACACACACCCCACAGATAGCAATGCAACGAGCTCGTGCTGATCTTTATCCATACACCATTAACTTCTCAACTAGTAAAGCAGGACTGCTGTGTTCACACACCACCTCTGAGATGATCTACGGATCCTGCTGGATTTGATGATACTCACACTCAGAAAATCTGATATTTCCTAAAAGCTTAGGTCTGTAGTAGGTGTGCAGAACAGCATCTGAGGTGCTATAGAAATTACTAGAACACTTCCACTGGGAAGATGGGGCTGAAAATTTCTCTACATCATCTCTATATGGATGATATTCATCAGTTTGGTTTCACATGCCTGTTTGTGTCTTAAATGTAGTGCTGAGCAGTAGGTTTAAATAAGGATTGCTGCCTTGGAAATGGGAAAAATAAACCAACCACCTTGCACAAACAGCAGATGTTGACGCTCAGTAGCTGTGGTGGCTGTCCAGTCACAGCCTTATGTAGTAAAACTAACGAGGTASTAACTCTATTTTGGTTTTCATGCATAAAAAGCTGAACAGTTACTCATTCTTGCTGAATCGTGGGCTTCAATGTTCCAGTTGTTATGCAGAAACTTTTAACCTTGTGCAACCAAAAATAGGTCTTAGCAATGCTTGAGTCAGTTTGGTCACCCTAGAGTGAGCACATTAGGGCTAGAATTAATGACTTCTTTAGTTTTAGGATTTGATCAGTTTTCTTCTAAACAAGAGGAACACTAGATATATGGTTTAGAAAGCAATGCAGGACTGAAATCTGCTAGGGTCAGCTTCTGGCCCTGCTGGCTAATGTATCCCTGGGCACAGAAGTGGAGTTTTGATACTGTTTTTTTTTTTTTTTTTTTCCTTCTGACTCTTTCCAGTGGTAAGCAGGCATTTCACAACGTAGCATTTGTATGCATGAGTGCTTGCTGGGTGTGTACATCACTGACATAACCTGAGGTCTGCGAGTGCAAGCACGTTCACAGGCTTAAGGTGGCAATATGAATGGCTCAGCATTAAACTCATTAGCCATTGCAAGACTTGAATATCAGCTCTAATTCTGAAGATAAAAGCTAGGAAAGTAAGCTTAAAACAAAAATTCCCCTGATTTTRCTACTCAGAATTTTGATAAATGGTGAACTCACTAAGGGCTTGTTCAGGTACCCTTTTCCTTTCTCCAGGGAAGTTACTGAAGTGCAGACTTCCTTTTGCCATAAAGCTGACGTATAGCATAAGGCTGACAGAATGGCGAATTTTCATGGGAAAGAAAAAAAAAATCAAATATGTTTGTTTTGGAGAAGTATCTAGTCAGTTAGAAAACAAGCTGCTTGTAGTAATTCATGAATCAGATACACAGTTGTAAGCTCCTTGAGGGAAAGATGTGTACCAGACCTTCCTGTACTATGATAGATACCTCTAGGGGTGAAGTAGCAGAGGAAGACAAAGTCTCAGTTTCTCTTATAATATTTGGACAATATGAAATGGTAGTTATCCTTAAAGATTTTTAGATTGCCATTGCTCTGTTACTGTTCTGACTATATTGACTACAAAAACCTATGATGCCTTTTAAATTAACCCAGGTCTGTGACACTTGGGTTGTTGTAGAGCAAAACTGTTGGCAATGTGTAAGCACCAATATAAAAAAAAAAAAAAGAGTTTTAAATAAACTGAATAATAAGCCTCCATATGTCATTTCTGTTTAATCTGTTTAATGTGGCTAATGTTTAGC